GCTATATTTAATAATCAATTGTTTACATTAGTGCTATGTTAACAATTTATCACAGAAACCTATAAAAAGAAACTTTAAAATTTAGAATGCCTATTTGAGGTTCTATTTTTTCCCAGAATAATCACAACAGTGATTTTGTAATAAACTCATGTCTGTGATCATGAGATTACCAAGAAATTCCTTGAAGTTGTCCATTTCAATACCTTTCTAAAGAATCTCTCTTCTGCCAACATGCTCCACTATTATTATTATTATTATCATTATTATTTTAATTCTACAGATTCTTTTAAAGGAAATCAAATAGGCAAAGTTTTTCCTGCTTTATTCCCACCAAACCATTACTCACTTGTCAAATTTTTGCATAAGCTAAGGTTTTCATTAAATGTTTAAATAATCTTTAAGAAACACTTTATTTCTAGATGTAGTGAAAACTTCAACGACACTCATTTTTGGACCACGTCTAAGCCAAGGATCACCTCATTTCAATCAGATTCCATGGTTTTCACTCTTAGATTATGAATCTATAGCTAAGTTTATGCTCTAATTCCGGGCACTTATTCTTAAAATTAACTATTTGATGTTGCTGTATAATAATCAGTTGCTTCTATTGGAACATATTTGAGATTAACCACATTAAAGAGGTATCTGAATTTTTTAATGGGGAAAATAAAACATGTCTCTAAAAATTTCATGGAAATTCAATATTTGTTAATTTATACCTCCAAAGAATTCTAACATTTTAACATTGTTTCACAGTTAAAAGTGGGTATTAGCCATAATAATGAATCTATTATTTCAACTATGTTCAAAGTCTCCTCATAAACTGGAGCTTTGATTTTACAATAGAGACACTTTTGCCTTTTGTCTGATCTCTCTTCATTGTGGTTCCACAGGGAGTCCCAATATTTCAAACGTGTCTGGCTTAATGAATTTTTTCTTATTATTGCTGCAATCTGTTTTGGTGTCAGATTTACTCTAACTTTGAGGGCTTTGTTGTTCTCTTTTCAGGCATCAGACTCTTTCAGTTTCTGGATGTGTTGTCTGAGGACACAAAATGACTGGTCTGAGCAGATCTGTAATGCCACCATGCTGTAAACCAGATTAAACATTAAAAACAACTCCTTTCTTCTTTTGATCAGTGAAGCGATGGCAGCCTAATATTTTGAAGTATATTTTTTATTATCTTTAGGTCAACTTAAAACAAATGCACACTGTCTTGAGAACAGACCTCCCCATAACTTCCCAGGTCGTGAAGCGATGGCAGCCTAATATTTTGAAGTATATTTTTTATTATCTTTAGGTCAACTTAAAGCAAATGCACACTGTCTTGAGAACAGACCTCCCCATAACTTCCCAGGTTAAGAGCAGCCAGGGTCCCGTCATTTTGTTTTAGTGCTGTTTTCATAATTTATCAAGAAACTAATCAGCTGGGAAATAGCCTCATCAGGAGAGTTTTCAACAGTCTGCTCAGAGAGTCTGAAAATCTTGGTAACCTCTCCAGACAATATCATCTATGTCATTTTACCCCCCAAAAGGGTAAACTGATGTGTAGGTAGGACGAAGTCACAAGTGCACAGCAATATGATTTCTCCATTTCTTGATTTCTATTAAAAAAATCTACATCCAGCATTCTGAAAAACAAGAAAAGATTGTTGCATAATACAATGCTCCTCTCCTCTAATGGGAGCGTTCCCCTTTGTGTGGCTATCAGGTGTGCTATGTTGGAGTCT